TTATAGATGAAGGAAATATTGGAAAATATATTGAAGGAAATATTGAGAAATATATTGAAAGAAATATTGAAAAATATTGAAGAAGGAAATATTGCAAATGAAGTGAAGAATTGAAAGAACTTCACCATATTTATAGAAGAAAAGAAATGTTAAAAATAAAAAAAAAATAAAAAAAACAAAAAAAAAACCCAACGGCTAGCTGAGTCAGCTAGCCGTTATATTAAAAAAAAATTCAAACTATTAGTGTAGGTTATAACCGACACTAATAGTAAAACTATAAAAAAAAAAAAGAATTTCAAACCCTTCTTTAATGTTGTTGGTTATAACCGACAGCAATAGGAAAACTATAAAAAAAAAAAAATAGCCAGCCCAGCCAGCCTTTTGGCCCTTTGAAATTTCGTGGGGCCCTCCCAGATTCCCGAACCATCTGGCCTAGCCCTCGGTTGGAGACGATTTTAGGACTATTTTCGGCCTTTTGGCCCTCTGGACCCTTCAATTGGAGATGGCCTAAGACAATAAAACAAAAATCAAAGTGTGAGAGGAGAGGAGGGAATGGGATAAAATTAAGGTCATCTCCAACCGAAGGGTCCAAAGGGCCAAAGGCCCGAAAATAGCCCTAAAACCGTCTCCAACCGAGGGCTAGGTCAGAGGGCTCGAGAATCAGGGAGGGCCCCACAGAATTTCAAAGGGCCAAAGGGCCAAAATGCTGGCTACTTTCGGCCAACCAGCCAGCCCTGGGCTGGCTATTTTTTTTTATAGTTTTGTTATTCCTATCGGTTATAACCGACAAGATTTAAAAAAAAATTCAAATGAAACGGCTACTAGCCATTGCATTTGATTTGATTTTTTTTTTTACATTATTATTTTTTTTTATTTACAAAAATTTTCATATAACTTCTATTTTTTCCTATAACTTATATTTCACAAAATTTGGTTCATATTTTTTTTAAATTCCATTTTTTTCCTATAACTTCTATTTCACAAAATTTGTTTCATATTTTTTTTTCTATAACTTCTATTTCACAAAATTTATTTCTTTTTTTTTAAATTCCATTTTTTTCCTATAACTTCTTTTTCACAAAATTTATTTCTTGTTTTTTTTAAATTCCATTTTTTTCCTATAACTTCTATTTCACAAAATTTGTTTCATATTTTTTTTAAATTCTATTTTTTTCCTATAACTTCTATTTCACAAAATTTGTTTCATATTTTTTTTAAATTCCATTTTTTTCCTATAACTTCTATTTCACAAAATTTGTTTCATATTTTTTTTTAAATTCTATTTTTTTCCTATAACTTCTATTTCACAAAATTTGTTTCATATTTTTTTTTAAATTCTATTTTTTTTCCTATAACTTCCTAAGCCATTATACAACATTAAATTAAATTAAGTAACATGAGACAACATTAAACAATATGAAACAACATTAAATAACATTAACCAACATAAAAATTATACAACATGAAACTTAAACAACATTTTAGTTGTAGTTTTTAAATAATAAATTATGTTTGGCCCTATGGCCCTTTGACCCTCGGTTGGAGATGGTTTTTTGTGACAAGGCTGAAACGAGCCCTCTGGCTTTCTGGCCCTCGGTTGGAGACGAAGGCAAATATGGCCCTGTATTATTCATTAAAATATTAATATCTTGGGGAATCTTGGAGGGCCAGAGGGTTAAAACGAGCTATCTGGCCAACCCTCGGTTAGAGATGGCCTAAGAGGGGAGAAAATCGTACTCCCAGTAAGTGATAGCTACAGCTACGACGTGGCGTTTATTAATGTTTTAATAATTTTAAGTAGAATTTTTCTTTGTTAAACAAAAAATTATGTGATTCTTCCCTTCCGATAATGTAATGTAATATAGTCTAATAATTGGTATTAATTTCCATCCAATGATGATGAGATGCATGCATAGAAATAATTCTCGTTATCAAAAATTTAGGATGAAAGGGACTCTTTGACGATTAATTTTTCCGTGTGTCAAGAATACGGTTCAATATACTAAATGACATAACATCAATTGTATTATTATATTTGTTGTACCGACACACTAAAAAATATCTCCTCTTTGACGGATTGGAATTAACATCGAGGCACAACCTCTCCATACTATTTTCACTTTTGTTTGTTTTTAATATACATTAAATTCATTTAAAATTTAAATCACGTGAAAAGAGATTAAAAATTAACGACAGATGGTGGAGTACACTACATAAAATTAACTTATTACTTGAGAAAAACTTTATAATATTTTTTTTGTCAAACGATAGATTTTTTTTTTACCACTTAATAATACGGTCTAGTGGTATTCCTCTTCACTTGTAAGTGAGGGATCTTGTGTTCGGTTCTCGCAAAATGCGAGTTTGAACCACATTATTACTAGCCCATTGTGAAGCTAAGTCCACCCCTCCCATTTAGTGTAGATAATATCATTTGTTCAAAAAAAAAAAAACTTTACAATTGGATGTGTTAGATAACTCAAAACCATTCAAAATAATAATATAAAATCCCTAATTAAATATAAGGAAAACTAATGAAAATGGCTTGAAAACTTTGAGTTTTAATGATAAAGACAAAATAAATGGTAAAATGAATAGTACCAGGATTGACTTTTTAGTGTAAAAATGTGGTTTTTCGTTAAAGTGAACAGTATCAGGTGCTTTTCGTTAAAGTTCTCTTAAATATAACCCATAATAATTTTTCTAATTAAATCAAATCTCTAAAATACTTTCCCTTTTATATTTTCGTAACGCATATTTTTATATGTGCTTTCTCAATTAGATAATCTTCAACCATATTCTTTCTAACCACAGTAATAAAGAGGCAGCTGAACTGGTTCATGAGAACTTGGTTGAAGCTGTGCGCTTTTGATCAAAAGCCACGGGAGTCGGGACGCAACATCAACATGCATGCATGTATGCCTAACAAGATGCATGGTTTTCTATCTTTTTTCTGAAACTTTTCGTGATTACATATTTTGGCACATGAACTTTCACCAAAAGCACCTAAATTAATTAAAAAGACAATCATCCCCATTGCAACGGCTTCGATGAATCCTATTGCAATGGGTCGATCAAGAGGCTCGATGGCTTTAAAGACCCAACAAATAACCTGATTTGGAGAGATGCTCCTATCCTCTAAGAAGGGTGCCATCGCTTTGCTTGATATTCGGCAGTAAATTAGTGTGCATTTTAACATTTAGGCCCTCTACTGGGATCCTTTCATAGGAGAGGGCAGGAATACGATTGAGATTAAAAATACAAGATCTAAAACAGTTATAGAAATTAAATTTAACGACTAAAGCACTTATAATATTGAATGATACATAGGATTGAAACCACACCCAAAAAGGGGTTTCTCCATTTTAATCCTTGATAAAGATTGAAATTCAATTAAAACCTTATGTTAGATTATATATTCATTATAGTCCTTTGACTAAATTTCCATGTCAGCATAAATATTAAAATTTATATTTTCTTGTTTTTAAATATTTAATGCGTTTTTTGGTTCCTATAATGCCCCTATTAAATATTTGATTTTAATTTGCTCCATATTTTTTGGCATTGATTATTGTCTGACTTTCTAAAATGATAAACATAATTCAAAAAAATATTAGTGATACGTTACAAGAATTAACAAATACCTAATTCAAATTATTCATTATCACCATTCAAAGCATAGAGGAAATATAAATAGCCAAATCATATATTTTACATAATCGAATGCACTTAAACCATGTCCTATTGTGCTTAAATCATATAACCTAGTCGAATGCACATAAATCATAGTACCAAGTCAAATGCACCTAAACCATGGTACTTATATGAATGCACCTAAACCATGGTACCTATATGAATGCACCTAAATCATGGTACCTATATGAATGCACCTAAATCATGGTACCTATATGAATGCACCTTAATCATTTAGGTACTATCACTTAGGTCTTATCCATTCGGTATGGTCGGTTAGGTACTATATAGTGTATGTCCGATTAATTTGATACGGTCAATTAAGTTGTGATTTCACATTCTATTTTCTCAATTTGCATTTTTTTTTCATTTATCTCTGGATTCACCGTCAATTTGGCATCTAAAAGCCTCTTTTTTCTTCTTTCTTCTCAATACAATGAGATTTTTGGTTTGTAAGTTTTATGGCTTTTTTTGTTTGATCATGGTTTTTGAGTTTTCTGGGTTGTTTGATTGGAATAACACATGGAGATTTATGTTATAACAAACATGTTAATTATGGATCTAGTTAATTAAGAATTCTTGAAAAATTAATTATATATTTGTTTCTCTAATTGGTTTTAAGAGAGTCATAAGGGTAAATAGGGAAACTAAAAATGCAATAAATTTATTAAAAATGATTAAATGTGACATGGAATACTATAATCTGACATGGAGGACTATTTTTAGTTTTTAATCTTACATACGGTATTATTGAAAAAACAATCTTATTTAGGGATTAAAATGAAGTTTTCTAAAAAACAAATATATTAATCTCTTGTTCAACCTGTTCCCTCTTATGATGATCCCTACAATTTATTTTTTTGGATTTGGATTATTTCCCCTCCCCTCCTATTTGAATGCTCAAGATTAAGCCACATCATCATCTTGTTTGACCTCTTGGTAGGGAGAGAAGAAGAGGAAACTCATAGAGGAGGGGAAGGGAAAAGAGGGGCGAGAATCCAACTCACAATTTTTAGTGCGACCATCACATAGTAATCTAACCACGTGTCATAATATATCACATAATTACCAACTGCTATTACTAATCGACATGGTGGACAACATGATTGATGAACCTAAGAGCATATCATTGTAATGACGAGATTGATAACTATCATGTGATTGACTATCAGAACAAAAAAAATTCAGATAATCCACGCATAGTCCTGCTGGCACTCTCCACATTTGCTGTCGTAACTATACAATGTTTGGACTGGTTTAAGTTGCAGAAAATCAACGCGGTCGAAATATACGAACATCACCAAAACAATGACAAACAAGATTTGAATTCGACCAGATGCAGCCGAATTCGTTGCGCAATCCTCTGTCCATGTTTATCATGTTGAAGATGGACGTCAAAGACATGTTCAAGCTGATCTAATCTACATTATTTGGTCTATAATCTATGATTCGTACTCAAATTCTATGTATGATTTTGTTTGTCACTTGTGAGATGCAGAGGTGTCAATGGTGGAAGCAAAGAATCTACCAAAGGCGGAGCAAAACATGGTCAGGGTTTTGCGCAAACACCTGAAACTGCAATAGTCAATGCAGAAACTGGGAAGGTGCTTTGCACGGAGCTTGTCACGCTCAATACCCAGGAGTTGCTTGCTTCTGCTACTTCAGATGTTGATTCACGATCAACGAACAGCAGCAGGCAGCAGTATCTTAACCTTCAAGCTTCGACATGTATCCAGTTATATGAATGTAAACAAAAGCTGCAAAGCAAACCTAGTACTACTCACTAAATAATGGTACTTCTGCAGAACTACTTCTACTACTTACACCATCTTACCAATGAATCCGATAAAAAGAGAGTCATCAAAACAACTCCGCAGTCAGACGAGAATGTTCATCAACGGTCCTAACTTTACTTCTCTAATACGATTAACTGCACTTCTCAAAAAACTAGAGCCAAATTTATTAGACAAAATATCGACAAACATTCGCATGTCAGCAACTGCAAGCTCGAATTATTAGCTGTATGAAGAATATTGTTGAAGTGTATTTTGGCCTCTAGAGTCAGCTACCATGTTCTCTAGGGATAGCTTTAGGCACTATTTGTAATTAGTAATTAGTCTTCTCTCCTTGATTTAAGGGAGGTGTGCAAGTTGTTTTTTGTAAGGTGTAGATTAGGCTAGCTTGTCTAATTTGTCTTCCTTTTCAGTCCTTGTCGGCTGCTTGTAGCAGTCTCCTTTTTTCTCTTTTCTGTTGGCTGCTTGCAGCAGCCATCTTATCTCTCTTTCTCTCCCCTCTTTTTTCTCATATATATATCTGGACCCCTTGTACATTAAACTCATGAAATACATTACAAATTAAAGCCATAATTTCTATAAATATCGACCACATATTCGCATTACAAACAAGTGCAGTAAACCAAACTGGAGCAAATATTAAAATCTTAATCATCAATGTGCACATCACTTGCTAGTTACATTTTCTCAACTAAAGTCACCCAACAGGGTAACTGGCATTAGTTTGGCTTCATTTCTTCACTATATTTTAAACTACTTTACAAGAAGTGCAACGGAAAAGTTGCTCTTTTGTGATTGAAAGGTCATTGGTTCGAGTTATGAAAATAGTCTCCTTGCAAAGTAAGGATAATGATGTATACAGTATTCTACAGATGTCCTTCCCTGACCCTGGCTAAGCAGGAAGCTTTGGTGGTTTGGGATCGCAACTCGAACTAACGCACAATTTGATGAATCATTTTCTCAACATTTTAGAACTTCTTAATCACGTGTGTTATACGTGTAAAGTATATTGGAGTTTTAAAGATGTGCAATTTAAAGAATTCTCGTGCATCTATGTGTGAGAGCAAGAGGGTTACCCGAGGTTAGAGATAAGAGAAAAAAAACTCCAAAATCTAAAAACAATACAGCTCCAATTATTTCCTCATGTTTATATTGTTGAATGATATACCACATAAGCAATCCACATCAGCAGTCCACATCAGCAAGGTTGTTATTCTGTCAGTTAGATAGTTAGTTGGGATTGTAGGAAGATATAAGGTGGTTATGGGGTTGGGCAGCAAGTTGTTCAGTAACACCACTAAAATTGGAATTCTTAAATGTGAGAACCAAAATCACACAGAAAACAAAGTAATAATTTTTCAAAAAAAATAAGAATTGAAGTAGTAGAAGTAATGAGTAACATCCCCAAATCAGTTGAATAACCAATCAAATTTCATTTCAGTTGGGTATTTCTTCAAACACCTTATAGGCAGATAAGCTTCGCACTTCGCAATTGAAAATCCCAGAAAATATACATAAGCAACAAGGATTACATGAACCACCATCGTATTTCATTCCCTACCAAGATAAGATTTAGTTTCCCAAATCACACTTATTTTGGAGAACCCAGATGCTTAAATTAATTAACATTTCAAAATTAATGAAAAAAATATGTTATATAAGTCATATTCTATAAACCTGATCAAAGATAATCAAGTTTAAATAACAACTCAGACACCAAAAAATAAAACTTGTTCTTGCAGATCCATGAAATGACATAACAACAGTAATCAAACAGACAAAGCAAGATGAATTAGGAAGAATCCCCAAAGTCTGCAAGACGAATCCCCAATTTGCAAGACAAATAATCTCCCCTCGCTGCAAGACGAATCCCCGATTTGCAAGAAGACGAAGATGAGTGGGGTGGGTGGGGCTATAGGTGCAAAGAGAAGACAGAGAAGCAGACGGGGAATTGAACAACTGCCCACCACTATCAGAGAAGATGATTGGGGTGGGTAGGGCTGTCGGTGCAAAGAGAAGACATAGAACAAAGGAGAACGAAGGAGAGGCTGCTGCTGGTGAGGATCTGTTGGTGAGGTTGCTGCCGGCGAATGAAGGAGAAGACGGGACTAGCAATCCTCTCATTTTTGGGGGGACTGGCTAAGACCTTCTAGCGAAGGTGCTAGTCCACGCTAGTCCTCACGAGTCCCATTAAACTTAGTCCATCTCTGCAACAAACACAGGACTTCACTAATCACTAGTCCAATCCAGTCCAGTGAAGGTTAGTGATGTCAAACAAACGCACCCTAAATGTTCTTCCCCGACCCACGCTAAGCAGGAAGCTTTGGTGGCTTGGGATCGCAACTCAAACTAACGCACAATTTGATGAATCATTTTCTCAACATTTTAGAACTTCTTAATCACGTGTGTTATACGTGTAAAGTATATTGGAGTTTCAAAGATGTGCAATTTAAAGAATTCTCATGCATCTATGTGTGAGAGCAAGAGGGGTACCCGAGGTTAGAGATAAGAGAAAAAAAAAACTCCAAAATCTAAAAACAATACAGCTCCAATTATTTCCTCATATTATAGCATCTCTTTTGTATGACATAATTAACAATGGAGCCTGATAAACATAATTCACAGTGGAGCCTCATAAACTGCATCATGTTTATAACTATATATATATAGTTACTCCACATGAACTGTAAGTTTCATTCCATTTTCACACTAGGGAGACGGATAAGGTGCGAAGTAGATTGTGCCCTTCTCCAATACCGCATGATCGTTTCCTGAAGTGTATAGTTTTATCACGCCGGCATATAAGTCATACTTCTCGAACAAATATTTGTCCCGTACAGCAGCTACCATGAGAAGGGGATCTTTATATTCGAAAACTGTTTTCAAAATACAATATTGAATTAGTAAACAAACCAGCTGCTAATCAAATATAGTAATATTTGAGGAATCGGATGCATGAACACCAATTGAAAAGAAAACCAAAGTGTTAGTCAGTCATTTTAATTACCCAAAACATCTCCAGCCTTGAACTTCTTGTCCTCAGTCCACTGGGTTAAGTTAGCATCAGGGCTCCATCTTTTCTCATCCCCCACTATATATTCTTTTCCATCAACTTCTTCGCATCGGAGCAGCAAACAGCTGACAAAAAGGCCGATTCCAATCACCAAAATTTTGTTCATTCCAACTGCCATCTATGATCGATCCACAGACAAACTATATATATGTAACCTTGACCTTTCTCTATCAACTCCAAATACAAAACAATTTATACATACAATATTGAGCCTATTACGCATTCAATTCGTACGTTTTGATTTGCTTCTCCAAATGCCATATGATCGATATATATTTCCATAACTAATTATCACATTTTTTGAATAATTATTGAATATATATATATATATATATTCCTTATTCTTCTATGCTTGTGTATTTCAACTCATAATCGGGTCAATTTCTGATGATGATTTTGTATCATTTTAGAGATATATCATTGAATGGGTGGATAATTCATTGAAAATTTTGTAATGAATTTATACCTTTTTGAGTCAAATACTTGACTATTGCCAATGTGGGAATTGGTTTCCCGTGAGACGCGGTGTGGTGCCACTCATGAGAGGGCGTTTTGGAGAAGGAAGTCTCATCTATCGACAATTGTGGTGTTTCCTAGTAGCTCATTTAGTTTTTCATTTTTTAGTCTAAATTTTTTTAGTTTTAAGACATGAATGTCGGTTTGGATTGCTTAGATGATATTGGTTTATATGAAGCATATTACGTACATTATGTTGTGTGTACTTGGCGCAAAGATTTTACTCTATTTAATTCTTTATATACCTTGTGCGACGAGTTTTAAAATTTCATTGGAAAAGGCTTTTGCGCGACGAAGTGTATTTGAACGCTCAAAATTTCGTCGTGCAAGAGTTTATTTTTTTTTACTATTGATCATTTCACCGTCAAGAGTGCAAACATGTAAAAAGTTGTCCTTTGAGAACGAAGAAAGAAGCATACTTTGTTTTTTTTTTTAAACAAGAATATGAATGTTCCTGGGAAAGGCATCAACCATGAAGAAAGAAAAGTACAAATGATTAAGATAAGTGTTTTACTTTGCGTTTATCTTTTTTCTGAAACTTTTCATGATTACATATTTTGGCACATGAACTTTCACCAAAAGCACCTAAATTAATTAAAAAGACACTCACCCCCATTGCAACGGCTTCGATGAATCCTCTTGCAATGGGTCGATCAAGAGTCTCGACGGCTTTAACGACCCAACAAATAACCTGATTTGGAGAGATGCTCCTATCCTCTTAAGAAGGGTGTCCATCGCTTTGCTTGATATTCGGCAGTAAATTAGTGTGCATTTTAACATTTAGACCCTCTACTGGGACCCTTTCATAGGAGAGGGCAGGGATATGATTGAGATTAAAAATACAAGATCTAAAACAGTTATAGAAATTAAATTTAACGACTAAAGCACTTGTAATATTGAATTATACATAGGATTGAAACCATACCCAAAAAACAAATATATTAATCTCTCGTTCAACCTGTTCCCTCTTATGATAATCCCTACAATTTATTTTTTTGGATTTGGATTCTTTCCCCTTCCATTTTCCCCTCCCCTCCTATTTGAATGCTTAGGATTAAGTCACATCATCATCTTGTTTGACCTCTCTGTAGAGAGAGAAGAAGAGGAAACTCAGAGAGGAGGGGAAGGGAAAAGAGGGGCGAGAATCCAACTCACAATTTTTAGTGCGACCATCACATAGTAATTTAACCACATGTCATAACATATCACAAATTACCTACTGCTATTATTAATCCACATGGTGGACAACATGATTGATGAACCTAAGAGCATATCATTGTAATAAACGCTATATACCATGACGAGATTGATAACTATCATGTGATCGACTATCAGAACAACAAAATTCAGATAATCCACGCACAGTCCTGCTGGCACTCTCCACATTTGCTGTGGTAACTAGACAATGTTTGGACTGGTTTAAGTTGCAGGAAATCAACGCGGTCGAAATATACGAACATCGCCAAAACAATGACAAACAAGATTTGAATTCGACCAGATGCAGCCGAATTCGTTGCGCAATCCTCTGTCCATGTTTATAATGTTGAAGATGGACGTCAAAGACATGTTCAAGCTGATCTAATCTACATTATTTGGTCTATAATCTATGATTCATACTCAAATTCTATGTATGATTTTGTTTGTGACTTGTGAGATGCAGAGGTGGCAATGGTGGAAGCAAAGAATCAGCCAAAGGCGGAGCAAAACATGGTCAGGGTTTTGTGCAAACACCGGAAACTGCAACAGTCAATGCAGAAACTGGGAAGGTGCTTTGCACGGATCTTGTCACGCTCAATTCCCAGGAGTTGCTTGCTTCTGCTACTTCAGGTGTTGATTCACGATCAACGAACAGCAGCAGGCAGCAGTATCTTCAACTTCAAGCTTCGACATGTATCCAGTTATATGAATGTAAACAAAAGCTGCAAAGCAAGTCTAGTAATACTCACTAAATAATGGTACTTCTGCAGAACTACTTCTATTAGACCATCTCCAACCCTTGGGCTAAAAGCCAATTTTTTTAGCCCGGAAAATTTAGCTTTTAGCCCAGAAACATCTTTTCTGCTCCAACCCTTCTACTCTAAAATTTTAGCCCGGAATTATTAAAAAATGAAATTAGGCTAAATTTTTTTCTTAAATCAATTTAAAAAAAAAAATATGTAGATTATTGTAAATTAATTTTATGAACATTTTAATCTAAAAAAATTTAAATTCCAATAAACATTTCGCATTTAGCCCGGGGGAAAGCTGGGGGGTATTTGGCTCAGAAATAGCATTTGGCATTTAGCTTAAAATTTTAGCATGGGTTGGAGAGTGTTTGGGGGGTAATTTGGCTTTTAGCCCAGGGTTAGAGATGGTCTTAGCATTGTGAAGAATATCGACCACATATTCGCGTTATAAAAAAAGTGCAGTAAACCGAACTGGAGCAAATTACTTGCTAGTTAATCATGAATGTGCACATCACTTGCTAGTTACATTCTCAACTAAAGTCACCCAAAAGGGTAACCGGCATTAGTTTGGCTTCATTTCTTTACGACAAGCGATATTTTAAAGTACTCTAATTTACGAGAACTGCAACTCGAACTAACCCACAATTTGATGAATCATTTTCTCAACATTAAACAGCTCCACAATGTAATTATGTAAATTAAATTAGCAAAAGGGCAGATATTAACGTAATAAACACAGATTAGGCACTGAATTCTACTCAATTTTCATGCTTCACCTAAAATCTTACATTGAGTAAGCAAAGCATTGGCCTTTTCTACTTCTTCTTGCCGCCTTTACCGGCGGCGGCCTTGCGGCGGGAGGGCAGAACAATCTCTCCCTTGAGGACAGGAATCTCCATGATCTGGGTGAGCTCGCCGTACTTCTTCCTGAACTTCTCGACCTGGTCGTCGTCGACGAGCATGCCCGACCGGTTTCCGAGGTAGAAGGGGTGGTTGCCCGACCACACGTCCACCACGTACTCCTTCTGGGTCCCACCCGTCGTCATCACCAGCTCCCCCTTGCAGTACACCTTCGCGTCCTCGTGGAACTGCGGGTGTATCTCCTTTTTCCTGCACGTCACCACAGAGCGGCGATTCCCCGCCGACGACCCACCGCCACCGCAGACCTGGAAAAGACCGAAATAATCAAATAACAAATTCATTTGGTAATATACGAAGAGATATATACGAGGGTATTTGGGTAAATTTACCTTCTTGGGAGGGAGCAGCGTGGGGCGGGGCGTTCCATGGAGGAATGAGGTGGTTAGATTGAGCGCCATTTCTGTGTGTTTGACAAACGACGGAGCGGATGACGGAGAAGATGAGGTTTATGTGGTTCTTTGATCCAAATTTACTGAATTGCCCCTATTTTCTTGTGGATAGTAATGAAGGCCCAAATGGTTTGGGCTTGGTTTCGGACTAAATTTTAGGCTAGAAAATCAACTGGGCTGAAGCCCAATTAGAGAGAATGAAGGCAGTTGGATCTGATCTTGCGACTAAAGAGACAACATTTGGAAAAAAACAACCTACCCGAGCCGGCCTTCGATATTCTGGTCTCACTCGATGATCTTGGTCGAACAACTACGTGGTGTGGGCGTTGTGACCCGAAGAACTTTCTCGTTCAAAAGATGCCAAGCAGGATGGAGACTTGGAAGGGTATAGATGAGGGTGACCTATGAAAATGCCATTAGCGGGTAATCAGACTAAAACTGGATATAGTTTCAACTTTGAACCGTATACCAGCGCAGCTTCAGTTTTGCAGAAGACGAACAAGATGACTAGATGACAACACAACTCCTCGAAATGGCATATAAGATTGATACGAATATTGGTCTCATATTTGTGATTTTAGGTAAGTGTGATAGATTCAATCACGATGATTAGGGTTCGACTGCTATATACAAAAAACCTACGTTTGGACAGTGTCTCCTGCCAGCTGCGATTTGCGAGGACATCGAACAACCCACATGGTAACTCGTGTGAACTCGAGAACTTAACAATAAGCTGGAGAAAGTGAAAGGCTCCATTGTAAGATGCTAGCAAGAAAAATAATGATGCAAAACAATTGGCCAAATGGATTATTGAAAAGGAATGGATTGTCAGAAGGCAAAAGGAACGCAGTGGGAATATGTAAATTTGGTGATCGTGCTCCGATTTAAGCCCATAATACTTTTTTTGCGAAGGGAACGACACCACAATTCAAACTCACTATTTTGCTATGACATACCATGAATTTTGTCTATTCGAGGACATTTTAGCCTTCCAAATACAGATTTAAATGTGTAGTACGTGTAAAGCATATTGGAGTTTTAAAAATGTGCAATTTAAAAAATTCTCATGCATCTATGTGTGAGAACAAGAGGGTTACCTGAGGTTAGAGATAAGAGAAAAAAAACTCCAAAATCTAAAAACAATACAGCTCCAATTATTTCCTCATATTACAGGATCTCTTTTGTATGACATAATTAACAATGGAGCCTGATAAACATAATTCACAGTGGAGCCTGATAAACTGCATCATGTTTATAACTATATATATATAGTTACTCCACATGAACTGTAAGTTTCATTCCATTTTCACAGTAGGGAGACGGATAAGGTGCGAAGTAGATTGTGCCCTTCTCCAGTACCGCATGATCGTTTCCTGAAGTGTATAGTTTTATCACGCCGGCATATAAGTCACACTTCTCGAACAAATATTTGTCCCGTACAGCAGCTACCATGAGAAGGGGATCTTTATATTCGAAAACTGTTTTCAAAATACAATATTAAATTAGTAAACAAACCAGCTGCTAATCAAATATAGTAATATTTAAGGAATCGGATGCATGAACACGAATTGAAAAGAAAACCAAAGTGTTAGTCAGTCATTTTAATTACCCAAAACATCTCCAGCCTTGAACTTCTTGTCCTCAGTCCACTGGGTTAAGTTAGCATCAGGGCTCCATCTTTTCTCATCCCCCACTATATATTCTTTTCCATCAACTTGTTCGCATCGGAGCAGCAAACAGCTGACAAAAAGGCCGATTCCAATCACCAAAATTTTGTTCATTCCAACTGCCATCTTTGATCGATCCACAGACAAACTATATATATGTAACCTTGACCTTTCTCTATCAACTCCAAATACAAAACAACTTATATATACAATATTGAGCCTATTACGCATTCAATTCGTACGTTTTGATTTGCTTCTCCAAATGCCATATGATCGATATATATTTCCATAACTAATTATCACATTTATTGAATAATTATTGAAAATATATATTCCTTATTCTTCTATGCTTGTGTATTTCAACTCATAATCGGGTCAAATTCTGATGATGATTTTGTATCATTTTAGAGATATATCATTGAATGGGTGGATAATCAATTGAAAATTTTGTAATGATTTTATACCATTTTGAGTCAAATACTTGACTGTTGCCAATGTGGGAATTGGTTTCCCATGAGACACCGTGTGGTGCCATTCGTGAGAGGGTGTTTTGAAGAAGAGTCTCATCTATCGACAATTGTGGTGTTTCCTAGTAGTTCATTTAGTTTTTCATTTTTTAGTCTAAATTTTTTAGTTTTAAGACATAAATGTCGGTTTGGATTGCTTAGATGATATTGGTTTATATGAAGCATGTTACGTACATTATGTTGTGTACTTGGCGCAAAGTTTTTATTCTTTTTTTTTTATATATATACGTTGCACGGTGAGTTTTAAAATTTCATCAATGAAAAAGATTTTTGCACGACAAGGTGTATTTTGACGCCCAAAATTTTGTTATGCAAGAGTTTATTTTTTACTACTGATCATTCCACTGTCAAGAGTGCAAACACGTAAAAAGTTGTCCTTTGAGAACGAACAAAGAAGCATACTTTGTTTTTCTTTTTTTTGTTAAACAAGAATATGTATGTTCCTGGGAAAGGCATCAACCATGATGAAAGAAAAGTACAAATGATTAAGATAAGTGTTTTACTTTGCGTTTATCTGGAACCTTTGCAGCATTAAAGCTAAAAGTTTAACCCCAGAAGAAATTTAAAAGGTCAAATTAAGAAAGTGGTCTCTTATTAGTTTAAGCATATTCATAAACTTAATTTAGCTAGTTAATTACTTAATTAACGCGACGACAATTCTTTCGGACTTGTCCCTCGAACCCAGTAAGAGGACTAATGTTCCCCATCTTAACCATGGACTTAGCAAACTGCTGAAAGAATAAGCTCTCATTAGCAGCATAGGTTTTCACCAGCTCAGCTGCCTGCCTTCTGTTCCCAGTAAGAAGTACTTGGTCTGAAGGGAGAAGTCCATGTCCCCCAAGTATAAGCTTGAAGTAGCTGTTGTCGAACCTTGTAGGGGAAACAAAGTCCAAGGGAGCAGCTGTGTTGTCGCCACCTCTTCTTGGGCAAACTGATTTCCGAGTCTGCCTGACGAACGAACACTTAGCGAACCCAATTGTATGCCCTCCTGCATTGATATTGTTCATAATTAACAAAAAAAGCCATAAATGTTCAACTTGAATTTGTGCCACGTTTAGGCTATCGTGGTTCGTGAAACATATTTTTACTCTACTAATAATAGTGTGACATCCTAACAAAAACTTAAAAAATTTCACTCCTTCATAATCTTTCACTTTGCCCCTCGACTTTCAGTTTGCTATCGAGCCTCTTTAGTTTTGAATATATGTGCCTAATTGTCAAATTCATCAAATTTAACTTTTCCCACTGGAATAGACAAAAATAACCCTCATTTTGCTGGAAAATTTTAACCCATTTGACAACATGGGACAAATTGGCACGTTTCAAAATATTAGAAAGCTCAAAACTAACTTGAAAGTCGAGGGAAAATCAGAAAAACGTACCAAGTTTAAAGGATCCCTTGCAAATAATGTGATAACAAAGGAGAAAATTCAGTAATTATAGGGTACCTGAGAGGGCAACTAGGTCAGTTTCATCAAGACCCTGACGCTCGAAGGTGGTTATTAGGGCTGAGAGATCGGGTAGTGGTGCTGGAATGTCTCTGTTTGAGCTTTCAAAACTTGCAGTTTTGGAGTCCCTTCTTCCTAGTGGCAACACCCAATCAGGTCCACCGCTCTGTTCCATTGCACCACATACACCAACCAAGTTGATCACTTATTAGTAAATTAATCAAGTAATAGTTTGGGCTATGTTACATACGTTTGTTCTTCTATTTATAAACCGACATTTGAGGGTGTAATTAGTTTTCTTACTAGTACAGTGGATCCCCTAGCAGCAAGAGCAACAATGTCAGCACATGACACAGTCAGGGGACATGCTTCTTCTAGCTTGGCCTTCATCTCGTCGATTACTTCAAATCCTCTCAGAGAATTCACGTTTGGTTTTGCCCCCTTTTCGCTTATTCTAGTCGTGCTGTTGTCTAGTAGCACCGAGGCGTCACAGCCCTGTCATCCAATCATATCATATATTTAGCCTTAGCCATGCATATTTTATTATACATTTCAAAGTAAGTTTTGATCAAAACGAACCTGAGCAAAGCAATCATGGAAGTGAAGCCTTATCAGAAAGGCTGCCACCCGGGGATTCTTCTCGATGGCCCGCTGTAATACGGAGATGACAATGTCGTTGACCTGAGGGCACGACGATTGATAGAATTGTGGGAAAAGATCGTGAGTCTGAGACCCACCCGACCCAAAGTTGAAACCATCCAGGTGAGCGGCGGAGAGCGTGGCTGAGAACACCAGTGTCACAACTACAAGACCTAAGAAAATTCCTCTGAAGACTGCCATTGATAATTCAAGTCCAAGGCTTTGAGTGTATGGTTTACTCTCAGTGCATGGTGACTAGTTAATTTATAGAGGTGAACTAATGTAAGAAATGGAACCACTCCCACCTACTGCTGCGGATAAAGAGCTGTTCACATTGTCGAACTTCTTGTATCTGGAGTCACCTGCTCCAAGGAAGAATATTTCTCTAACATTTTATTTTTCTCCACTTTTGGCAATAGAGTTTGCATCACTTTAATCAATCAAATGTAATATTGCCTTAAACAGATAAAATCCCATTTTAGGCATACGTACGAAGTTTCCTCACTGTTTCTTACGCTGGGCAAAATCCCAACGCGGTTTGAACATTGGGTTTAGGGTATAGATGAGGGTGACAATGAAAATGCCATTAGCAGCTAATCAGACTATAACTGGAAATAGTTTCAACTTTGCACCGTATACCACTGCAGCTTCAGTTTTGCAGAAGATGAACAACATGACTAGATGACAGCACAACTCCTCCAAATGGTTTCATATTTGTGTTTTCAGGTAAGTCTGATTGATTCAATCACTATTATTAGGGTTCGACTGCTATATACATAAAACCTACGTTTGGACGGTGTCTTTTGCCAGCTGCGATTTGCATGTACATCGAACAAACCACACGGTGACTCGTGTGAACTCAAGAACTTAAAACAATAAGATAAAGAAAGTGAAAGGCTCCATTTTGAGATGCTACTAAGAAAACTAATTATGTAGAACAAATGGCCAAATAGATTGAAAATGAAATGGACCATCAGACGGCAAAATGACGGAATGAGAATTTGCAATTTTGCTGTCCAAATTCTGATTTGGGCTATAATACTTTTTTACAAAATGAACAATGTCACAATTCAAAATCATCATTTTGCTATGACATACGATGAATTTTGACCATCCAAAAACGTTTCCCTCCAAAATGCAATTTTAATTTTCATAATAAAATTTTAAATGTTTGTTTCCCAATAGAATTAATATCGTTTTAATTACTTGAGTCTTCTAAGTTGTTTTAACAATGGTAGAATATCTAAAAGAGGAAGCAAAAATGGAGCATGAAATCATTTGTCACGCCTTTCCAATTTCTAAATGTTTGTTTTCAAATAGAATGTTGTAGAATATTGTAATTAGTTTAACCAATGGATTAAGAAGATGATCAAAGCACCCCTTTTGCAGAACATGGTTTTTCGTTGCTCTCATATTTTTCGAGAAGGGAATGTTGTTGCTGACAAATTAGCCAATTTAGGGCTTCTATCATCTTCACTTGTCTGGCATTCCACTCCCCCAATTGAGATCCTCCCTCCTCTGCACTCAGATTTCTTGGGCATGCCAACCTACAGGTTTGTCTCCTCTTCTTGATGTGTCTTCTCCTTTCTTTTCCTAACCTTTTTGGATTCCCTTTTGTTTTGCAGTTTGTTTTGCAGGTTATTACCTTTTAAGGTTTATAGAAGGGTTTGGGCTTATGTCCGCCTAGTCTTTTCCTTGTATTTTCTTTTCCAAGAGGGGTACGGTCTATGTCCCCCCCTCTTTTTCTGGCATTTCCTTTCTCAAAAGGGGTAAGGTGCATGTCCCCCCCTTTTTCTTTTGTATTTCTTTTCTCTTGTTCTATGAGGGGTTAGGTTTATGTCCCCCCCTGTCTAGGTGTAACTTCTTTTTTCTTATCAATAAAATTCCCTCGTACCGCCGAGGTTCTCCTAAAAAAAAAAAAAAAAAAAAAAAAAAAAAGATCAAAGCATCTTTTGACCTCTGTCCATCACTAGCCCTATTTTAAATGCCACTAACTCCTTGAAACGCGTCATCTAAGTTGGTTGAGTTCGCTTTTGCTTGTAGAATCGCACACCCCCCAATTAAAGCATTCCTAAAAAATCCCATTTCATTCCTTCAAAAATTCAAAAACCCACCAAACAAAGCGAGAGGCTTTGGATTCTTCCAGCAAATTTGATTGTGCCTTCTATTTACGAACTCAAGCATATTGGAAAGAAAATTTATGCATTTTCAACATACTTTTCTGCTACATCAAGCAAGCCTTCAAATATAACATGTAGGCCAAGATTAAAATAAATCAAACTTCATATGATTACAAAGTAAAGAGAAAAATCTGAAATCCATCGTTGTCCAATCAAGCACACATAGTGAATAGAATTGTAATAGTACTTGGGTATGTATGTGAAATTGAATCTGAACAATCGTAAATGAATATATAACTACTAACCAAAATATGAGAATTTCTTTATCATCTCGTCATTGTTTTAAAGTCATGGTTCTGCAACTTTGTATAAGAATTGAAATGCCCCTCTACCACTACTTAAGTTGCATACGATCGATTTGCCAAGGAATGAAAAAAACTAAAAAAAATTGTTCTTGGTTACAGCATTTGGTAAACTACAAGATCAAAATTGGTATTAATATGGAGTTTGATTTATTTTAAAAATTTTAATGTTTATTTTTTAAACTGTGGTTTCTACTCCTGCTCGACCGCTCCCTGATTTTAATTTTAATTTTAAATTTCTTTTTTCTTGAAAAAATTACCCCTTCATATTCTTTTGTATTCTTTGGGCTGGTTTTGGATTTAATTGTTTGACGGGCTTTTAAGTCCAAATATTTTGGTAAAGCTTTGTGGCTTTCTACTATTAGAGATTAGAGATATATTATGTATGTAATACCATTTAGAATAAATTGGTATTGTTTAAAACATCACCTTTTGGTTTTTTGGGTTAAAAAGTGCCATCGTCTTTTTTGCACCCACAATTCAAGTTTTTTTAATTTTTTTTATAGAAAGTTTATTTGTCTTTTCTTAAATATATTGAACTAATAGAACATAAATTTTGGGTTAAAAAGTGCCATCGTCTTTTTTGCACCCACAATTCAAGTTTTTTTAATTTTTTTTATAGAAAGTTTATTTGTCTTTTCTTAAATATATTGAACTAATAGAACATAAATTAACAAGATCTTAGGAGTTTGTTATATTTTGGATTTAATTTGAAAATTATTTATAATGACAATTTGTGTAATTTGAACTTAATTAGTAAATTAATTAAAATTGTAGAAATTAGTTTGATCAAATCTCTAAAAGTCTTAGATGTTTGGTTCAAGAAATCCAAAAACCAAGCATATAGATCAAAATGCCCCAAATTATTCGTGCATTGTATGGTAAACAAACTGAGTTTTATTTTTTCTTGGAAAATGGCCGGAGTGTAGAATTAACAAATTTTTATTGTTGAAATGATTGACATATTTATTAAATATTGGTGACGCTAGTGATCAATTATTGACTTCATATTTATAAAACTCAAAAAATTGACCACTTTAACATTAAACGTGTACAAATAGTAAAATACAAAATGCATCTAATAAGTGAAAATTGTGAACACGGAAAATTCCTGAAACGAAAGAGACAAGAACAACGTGCACAAACAAATATTTGTATTTTTGATGATTTTGGGTTACAATCTCTCTCAAATTTGATCCTCTGATTCGATCTCCGTGAGGTGTGTATTTGTGGATGTTTCGTTGATCCAAGGGCCGTTGAGGCTTGATCTTGGATGAACTGTTGGAATTTTTCTTCAAGGCCGTTGGGGCCTAATCTTGAAGGTTGAGGGAAGTTTCTTCAAGGGCCCTTTGGGCTTGATCTTAAAGGTTGATGGATGGACGAATCTTCAAGGCTGTTGGGCTTGAGCTTGAAGAACTGTTGATGAACGGATCTTCAAGGGCTTTTGGGCTTAATCTTGAAGAACGGTTGGATGTGTGTGGATTTGTCGACGTTTGTTGATCCAAAGGGCCGTTGGGGCTTGATCTTGGATGAACGGATGATGAACGATGGTGCTTTCTTCAAGGGCCGCCGGGGCTTGATCTTGAATTGGTGGAAGTTCTTCAAGGGCCGTTGGGGCTTGATCTCGGAAGAACGATGAACGAATAACACTTTCTTCAAGAGCCGTCGAGGCTTGATCTTGAATTGGTGGAAGTTCTTCAAGGGCCGTTGGGGCTTGATCTTGGAAGAACGATGAACGAAGAACACTTTCTTCAAGGGCCGTCGGGGCTTGATCTTGAATTGGTGGATGATTGTTGATCCAAAGGGCCGTTGGGGCTTGATCTTGGAAGAACGATGAACGAAGAACGAAGAACGAAGAACACTTTCTTCAAGGGCCGTCGGGGCTTGATCTTGAAAGAACGATGAACGAAGAACACTTTCTTCAAGGGCCGTCGGGGCTTAACTTGAATTGGTGGATGATTGTTGATCCAAATGGCCGTTTGGACTTGATCTTAGGATGAACGATGAACAAAGAACGAAGAGAGGTTTCTTGATTCTTCGGGAACCTGGATGCTTGAGAGCTTCGGAGTTTCAGAGCTTCAGAGCTTCAAGAATTTTGCCTAATGATTTTGGTTCCTCCCAAATGAATGAAATTGGCTTCTATTTATAGAAATTTCCAAGGCCTAATTTTGAATATAATATCCCAGATGAAATAAGTCGTTTCTGCCAGATGTTGACACGTGTCCTATTTGATGACTTTTCCAACTCATTTCCATTTTCGTTGAGTCACACGCTACGTGTAAAATTTATGTAATACATGAGCGTTGACACTTTGATTTATCGGTCAACATTTATTTACCAAAATTTCAATGTCTACAAAAATACGTACGTGTATTATTTAAAATATTTGCTTAAAATGTCTCCACAAAAAAGGGCCTTTTAAATTTTTTATAATTATTATTTAAATCATTTTTTTAAATATGTCAAAAACATGTATAAAATACGTAAATTTTATATTAATTATTAAAAATGTATCAAAATAACATGTATTAAATTTGTATAGTACATATGTGTATTATACATATAAGTATATTCGAGTTTTAAAAAACGTGCACTTTAATGAATTCCCATGCATTTATGTGTGAGAGCAAGGGGGTTACCGGAGGTTAGAGAGAAGAGAAAAAAAATAAAGAGCTACTTTAGTGAGATTATAGACACTAAAGTAAGAATTAATTATCTTTATACTTTTATTATTTAAGATAATGTAAGAAACTATTGTCGTTACCCTGAAGAAAAAAAAATTTCATTGCATGAACAAGGACAAAAAACAATACGGTTCCAATTATTTCT